CAGTTTATTCAGAACAACGTGAATTACAGAACGCCACAAAACCCATCTGGGATCCCCCCCACACCTGACAGCCACTCCCCCACCTCCGCTCAGCCCCACCAACCCTCCCACCACCAGCATCTGGTCACTCCCTTAACACTGACCCTCCCCACCTTGCGCAAGAGGGGACAGCTGGACTGGACTGGGCTAAACCCCCCAAATCTCCACCCCATAGAGGCGTGTCCCACCCACACTCCTTCCCTAACATGGGTGTGGCTACCTACAACTGCACCCCTTTGGGGGCGGGGCTCCCCTAGCCCCTCCCAGGCAGGATGGGGCCATCAGGCCCAGCTGTGCTGCTGCTGGAGGGTCTTGATGGCCAGGGTCCAGCGCTCCAGCCACTGCTGCAAGGTGAGGCCCAGGCGGTGCTCCGCAGGCAGGGCCAACTGCCCCGGCTGCTCCCACCTGCAGACAGGGAGGGGGGAAGAGATATCTCCTTCCGGCCCCGCCCCCTACAGCTCCCCCCCAGCACAGAAACCCCCACATCCACCCTTGCACCCCCCCCCCCGACATCCTCCCTCGTGGCACATGCCCCCTGGCCCCTCCCTAGGTACACCCATTCTCCAGAGGCACCAGGCCACCCCCTTTTTTCCCACCCCAACCCCCAACACCCCCCGATCAGTCCCTCCCGTGCCCCCACCACTTAGGCAAGCCCCCTTCTTCTTCACAGCCCCCACCCCAAGCAGGAGAGAACCAACCCCCAGCACAGGATATGCAGAGCCTCCCCCCTCTGGAGAACAAGACGTCCCACAAACCAGGTGGGTGGGGCCTCCTCACCAGGTGTTAATAGCGGCCTGCACCTCAGGCCAACGCTTGATACGTTGCCTGTACTGCTCTATCACCAGTGGATCCAGACCCCAGCTTGCTCCCGGTCGTGGTCCCACAGGGGCTGCACCAGGGTTGAGGAAAGAGATGTCGGTGAGGCCTGGAGAAGTTATGGCTTGGGGGGGGTGCTGAGCTGCTGGGCAGAGGCCATGGTCCTGTCGCCCCTCAGGCCGGCTCATGTGCCAGGAGGGTGCCCCTTGCAGACCCTGGGAAGGGTCCTCAGGCGGGGGGGGCGTCCCCCTGTCCGTCTGGAGCCATGGAGGAGATCTCACCTTGTGCGTTGGTCCCCGGGGAGCCCTGGCGCTGCTGCAGGCTGGCCAGCGCCTGGCTCTTGTCGCCCAGCTGGACACGCAGGGCCAGCAGCTCCTTCTTCAGCTCAGCCATGTGGGGCAGGAGGTGCTCCAGGGCCTGGGGCAGAGGACACAGGGCCTGCCCCCCCTCCCCCCAGGATCACCCCCCATGGGGCTCTAGGGAGGTTTAATGCAGAATAAACTAGGGGATGCTCCTGCCCCACTCCCTCCTCCGGGGCCCCCCATCCCCATCTCCCCCCCAGAAGAGGGTCTCACTCCCGCCCTGTGGGGGGACCTCCCCACTCCCTGCCCCATTGCTCCACCAAGTGTGTGTCTCACCTTGTAGAGAGGGAAGCCGGAAGCCTGGCACACAATGAGGGAGGCCCGGTGCTGGGCGAGCACCATCCAGCCCAGCCTATGGATGGAGAGCTCGTGGGCCGGGACCTGCAGGTGGGGGACGACTGGGTCAGGGACGCCAAGGATCAGCCCCTGAACCCCCTACCCTCAGGCACCCCCCATCTCACCAGACACTCTCCATCCAAGGTACTCCCCCCTAAGGCCAGGGGGCTCCCCCCATATGGGTATCCACCCCCTGGAGCACTCCAAGAGGGGACAGTCAGCCCCAGGGCCCTGCTGTCTGTGGGGGAGAGCGCCTGTGGGGAGGGAGGCAGATTAGACAGAGCGGGGGGGTGGGGGACTCACCCCAGGAGGCTGTGGCGCAGCAGGCAGGGGAGGGCGATGGCCCCCAGCTGCCAGACCTTGCGCTCCACCCCCCCATGCAGCTGCTGCAATTCCAGCATCACGTCCTGCTCCGGGCCCAGCAGCTTCCTCTGCACGAAGGCCTGGACCTGAGAGACAGTGGGGGGAGACCATGCTGGTGCCCCTCAGTCCAAACCCTGGGCCCCACTCCCCCAGCCCTGCCAGTGCCCCTCAGTCCCGCCCCACAGCCCCCTGCCCTCCCAGCCCTGGACCTCACTCCCCAGCCCTGCCAGTGCCTTTCAGTCCCGACCCACAGCCTCCTGGTATCCTGGCCCTGGACTCCCCGCTCCTCTGCCACCCCATAGTGGGGGAGGGTGGGGTGTCTCACCTCGGCCTGGTCCTTGCGGAGGTGGGATTTGATGTAGGAGGTGCCTTTGATCAGTGCCCGGATGTGCTGCTGCTTTTCGCGCTGGGTGGATTGGGGGGGCGGGGGGTGTCAGTCCTGGGGCTGCTTCAAGACAGTGTCCCTGCTTCCCCTGTGCCAGCAAGGAACCCCAATATTCACCCCCACAATCCCTCCCTTTCCCCCCAGAGGGCACCCCCACTCTCCCCCAATTTGTCCACTCCCTCCCTTCCCCCATCATCGCCACACCCCTATATTCCCCCCAGCATGCACCCCCTCTACTTCCTTCCCCCAAGGCCAGCCAGGTACCCTGTGGATCCCCCTCCAGGAACCCCCCAACCACGGGCCCCCTCCCAGCCAACCCCTCCTCATCCTCCTGTGTGCCCTATTGTCCCCCCACCCCCCAGGCAGGTCCCATGTCCAGAGGTTGCCCTGCTCTGACCCCCAGATTCCCCCCCACACTCCCCACCAGATGGCAGAAGTCCACGATGTGCTGCTGCTTGCTCTGCAAGGCCTGCGGCTCCGCGTGGCGGGCACTCGCCTCCCGTTCCTGGCAGTCCTGGTGCAGCCCATCCCGCCGCACAGCCCGCAGCTCCAGCTCCGGCACAGCGGGGGGATGGGGACCAGCAGGGGGCGCACTCTGTAGGTCTCGGGTGGCACCAACCACACTGGGGGACCACAGGGGGCGGGGAATCTTCCCAGCAGGGGGCACTCTCCCAGGGGTGGGCGGTCACTGACTGTGCAGGAGGGACCCTGGGTGGTGGGGATGTCTCCCCGGCAGGGGGTGCCCACTACAGGGCCCCAACAGTGCAGGGGGACCCCATGGGACAGGGAAGTCTCCTCAGCACCCAGATGGGGCCACCTCCCCTCCCTGCTATATCCCAGCCCCTGGGACCCACAGCCCCCTGATGTGGCCCGCTCCCCCCTCCCCCACTATAACCTAGCTGCTGGGACTGCCCAGCCCCCAGAGGCAGCCCTGCCTGCCTCTCCCCATGTCTCCACTCACCTGTATGAGGCCCCGGACCGAGGGAAGGGCTGCTGGCTGCCCCTCCAGGTCTTCCAGGCGGGCGCTCTCGTAGCGGAACCTGCAGGCCAGAGGGCAGAGGTACAGGCCCCCGCACTGGTGCCATGGGTCACTGCAGCACCGCTGGGGTGACAGCCCCACAGAGCCCTGACTCTGCCCCCTGCAGTACAAGCTTCCACCACCAGGGGGTCAAAGCTCCACACCACCCCCTTCTCCCAAGCTCTGACTCTGCCCCCCCAAAACAGGCCACCACCCCTGGGGGACGACGGCTCCGTACAGCACCATGCACCCACACTACCACCCCCTTCGTGGTACCTACTTGAGCGCCTCTATGTTGCGGGGAATGTCCTATCCTATCTCCTAGAACTGGAAGGGACCTTGAAAGGTCATCGAGTCCAGCCCCCTGCCTTCACTAGCAGGACCAAGTACTGATTTTTGCCCCAGATCCCTAAGTGACCCCCACAAGGATTGAACTCACAGCCCTGGGTTTAGCAGGCCAATGCTCAAACCACTGAGCTATCCCCCTCTCCCCCCCCCGGCAGGTGAGCTCTTGCATCTGCAGGGTGTTCTCCAGGGCCAGGTGCTCCAGGGCTGCCAGGATGTGGTTGGGAGGGTGGGAACCCACGATGTCCTGTGTGGGCAGAGAGGTGGGATGAGCCACAGCGGGGCAGGAACAATGTACCCTCCCCATCAGGGCAGGCTCCAATACCCCAGTGCAGTGCTAGGGGGCGCTGTGCTGTAGGGAGCAGGGCAGGGGGCTCTCCCCGGGCAGTCAGGGCTGGCCCCGATGCCCCAGCCCAGCATTGGGGCCACTGCGCTGCAGGGAGCAAGGCGGGGGGAATCCCCCCTAGCAGTCAGGGCTGCCCCAATGCCCCAGCTGCCCCTCCCAGAGGTAGCTGCACCTTAGCACCAGGTGAGCTGTCCCAGTGCAGAATTATGTTCAGTTCTTCCCAGCTCAGAGGTGGCTGCATCTGTGCACCATGCGAGCTGTCCCCAGGGTCCCTACCCCATTGCTCCTTCCTCCCCTGTTACCTCCACTGTGCTCAGCCAGTGCTGGTAGGATGCGTCCAGCAGCTCCTCGCTGCTGGACACACATGGGGCGAGTCAGAAACAGAGTGGGGGGGAGAGGGCAGGGGAGCTCGCAGGGTCTTATGGGAGGGCCCCAGACATGCTGTGCTCGAAGAGCGACTTCAGGAAGTGGAAGCGCAGCTGCCAGGCCGTCCGCACGTCCCGCTGTGGAGAGACGGACAGACACTTGGACGGGTTACTGGGGTGGGGAGGAGACGACAGCCCTCAAGAAAGCTGCAGATCACCAGGAATCACTGGTGGAATCACCAGGATCTACTGGATCCTCACCCCTTATTGGGATCCAGGCACCAGGCTCAGTGAGATCCCTCAGGATCCCAAGACCTGATTGCCAATGGCCCGACAGACTCCCCCCGGGTCCCGGCACCAGGCTCAGTCCAATTCGCTGCTCCTCCCCAACCAAACCCCATCACCAGATCCCACGGTGAGATCACCAGAGCCCCATGCTGGCATTCACAGGGCTCAGATCACCGGGTACCCTGTGTCACTAGATCTTGCCTTGAGATCTCCAGATCCCCTCAAGATCCCAGGACTGGGATCCCCAGATCACCATCCCCAACTAGCACAAGGGAGCAGGATTCCCAAATTCCTCTCCGCCCACCTGGGAATCTACTCACTGTCCCCTCCCCACTCACCAGTACTTCAGGCTCCACGCCAGCAAATCAGAGGTCAGGCACCTTCCCTCCCACTGTCAGCTCCACCTTGGCCTTTCTGCACAGACCAGAGGAGGCCGTGAAAACAGGATGGGGGAGAGGGGAAGCACAGTTCAGGACATCCCTCCACCCTCACCTCAACCCAGGCCCCATCCCCAGTGGGACCATGCCATGGAGCAAAGGATCCTGAGAGACGCTACCTAGGATGGGCAGTCCCCTATCCGTAATGCCACTTGCCATGGGACCCCCTCCCAAGGAGCAAAGGATTCTGGGAGTTACTACCCAGCAGAGATTTTATTTATTTTTATTTAGATGTCCACTGGGTAGTGCTTCGGGAGCAAAGGATTCTGGGGGATGTGACCAGGAGCAGTGGGTACCACACGCTAAGGACGGAACCATCCCCCACACACCTGCTGATGTCCTGCAGCTGCTCCAGCCGCACCCCCAACTGGGTTACGCTGCCCTGCAGCTGCTGGCGCTCCTTGGTCGTGCAGGCCGCATAGGCCTTGAGCAGCAGGGAGCGGCGCTGGGTGTTGCAGATCCACTCCTGGCCCGCCTCTAGGGAGACCTCTGCAGGGTGTGAGGAGAAAGAGCATCAGGGAAACCTCACCCCGAGCCCCAGACGCTAGGCCCCACTCCCCTCCCAGAGCTGGGGATAGAACCCAGGAGTCCTGGCTCCCAGCCTCTCCCCCTCCCCTGCCCCACTCCCACAGTAGGAGACAGAACCCAGGAATCCTGAGGTGATGGGTGTGAACCCCACAGGTGATTTCTGGGGAGGGAGCATGGGAGGCAAAAGCAGCAGCCCCATGGGCTACAGGAACCTTGCGGCTGGGGAAAAGACCACGTGGGGAGATGGTGCCCCCAAGGCGGGGGGGGGGGAAATGGATCTGGGCTGCAGGGGGACGATCCCACTGTGTGTTGGGGGAGAACAGATGGGAGGACTGGGGTGGACTTTATGCCCCCCACCCCCAGAGCGATGGGCTGGGGTAGCGCACTGGGGGCACAGCCCTTGCTGGCCCCCCAGATCCTTGGGGCTCCCCCTTTACCGTCAGCCATGACCTCACGCTGGGCCATCTCCATCTGCAGGCCCAACTGTGCCACTCCTGCTCCGGTTCTGACCCGCTGGGCTTTCCCTGTGGGGCGGGGGAGACACCGACTGGGGGTAGGGCTTCTCCTGGACAGCTCCGCCTCTGAGTGTGCCCCCCATCCACCCACTGCTATAGACCCAGGCATCCAGCTCACCCCATGGCAGGGCCCCTGTTCTACCCCACAGCACCCTGATCCTCTTCCCCGCTCCTCCAAATCCAGATTACTATCCCCTACCCACTGTCCCCACCCACCACACCACACAGCATTACCCAATCCCACCCACAACACTCGTCCCGTCCCACCAACAGCCCTCACCCACACGCCCCTATCCACACCTGCCCCATGCTCCATTCAACCAGCAGTCTCCACCGGCCCACTCACCTCTGTCTCCTCCAGATGCTGGTACCTGAGGCAAGGCCTGAGTAAAGGAGGCTGAACGTGGAGAGGGACAGAGGCCTGGATGGACAGACAGAGGTCGGACCCAACAGGCTGCGGGGGGTCCAAGGCCAAGAGACAGATGCCAGCCAAAGGTCAGCAAGGAAATTAAACCTTCTCCCCCCCAGGGGTTGGATGGGCCCAGGGGCTTGATCTAGGGGGCAGGGACAGGGTGGGACACTGGGCTGGATGGGCCCCTTGGTGAGAAAGTTTCCCATAGTAACAAGTCCCCAAGGCGGAGGGGGACGAGGAAAGGATACCACAGCAAGTTCCCTCGGATCGTCTTCACATTCCTGTGAGGAAAGAGAGAGGGGTGAAGCTACTGCAGAAACAGCAATTGCTCTGGGAGGGGAGTGGGGTTCAGTGGTTAGAGCAGGGGGGGGCTGGGAGTCAAGACTCCTGGGTTCTACCCCTGGCTCTAGGAGAAGACCTGAAAAGCTGAAGGCCCCATGTCCCATTCCCTGCCTCCCTGAGCCAGCCAGTCCCCCGCTGTAGGGCCAGATGGGAGCCAGCGGCCCTTTGAGGGGAAAGACCCCACGCCCCATTCCTCTCACCTCTGGTGGTGCACGTGCTGGGTGACGTATTTCCAGATCTCCACACACTGGCCTGAGCACATCCTGGGGATACAGAGCGACAGCATCAGCCCAGAGGGACACGACTGGAAACCTCTACAAGGAGCATGGGAGGCCCTCGCTTCAGGACTGTATATCCCCCCCTGTCCCTGCTCCTTTTCCTTCCCTCCCCCCTCCAGGCCTGGCTCATCCAGGTAACCTCACAGGGCTCGGGGGTAATATCTCCGGGGGCAGGCAGACCCTTTTCTGGGGGAGAGCAGAGTGGTGGTGGGGGGGCTCTGGCCCCACAGATGGGACATAATGAATGGGGCCAGGTGGGGTGGGGACCATAGGGCAGGGGGGTTCGCAGAGAGGTCCCAGGTGGGGGTATGATAGGCGGGGGGGGGGGGGCTGGGGCAGGGAAGGAGGTACCAAGGAGTAGAGGGGGAAAGGGGGTCGAAGGAGGGAAGAGGACCGGAGGGGGCAGGAAGCGAGGAGAGAGCGAGGCCGCTCCCCAAAGTGGGGACCCCGAGGGAGCAGGGGAAGGGGGCCGGGGGTGGGAGCCGCAGGAGCCCGGGACGGACAAGGAGGGAAACGGGAACCCGGAGAACAGGAGCAGGGTGGGAGCCGGGGGGATCCCGCGCTGGGGGGCCCGGGGCTCTCACCGGCGGAAGGCCCCGTCGGGGGGCACCTTCGCGGGGGGCAACCCCATCTCCTGGGCCGCCCAGAGCTTCAGCTCCAACACGGGTCCATGCCGGGATCCGGACGCGCCAGCCGCTGCCGCAAAGCACGATGGGAGCTCTGGGGCCTGCCGGGAGCTGTAGTTCGGGGGGCGGGCCCGTAGTCCTGTGGAGGCGGGACCTGCCGGGAGCTGTAGTCTGGGGGAAGGGCCGCCGGGAGCTGTAGTTCGGGGGGGCGGGGCCTGCTGGGAGCTGCAATTTGCATTTTCCCCATTCAGGTGGGTCACACCATGGTGGCCCCTACGCAATTTGTAACAGTGCCACCTGGAAACAAAGATAAGGCGCAGCTCATGTGCCCTGGAGACTGAATTCCCTCTGGGGTCTTTGCTAAGCCATTCCCAAACTGGGAGTCATGAGGTTATTACATGGGGGGGGGGGGGGTCGCAAGCTGTCACCTCCAGCATTTATAATAGTATTAAACATAAAAAAGGTGATTTTAATTTCTAAGTGGGGTCGCACTCAAAGGCTTGCTGTGTAAAAGGAGTCACCAATACAAAAGTTTGAGAACCACTGCTGTATTCCATGCTCATGGCCTCCCTGCTAATGCCCACCTCCCCTCTAGGTTCAGCCAGCCCTGGAGTCAATTTTGTGCTTCAGACACGTATGCTAGGAACAGGTCTGAGATGCTGTGACGAACTGGGACTGTTCTTACTGTGGTCTGTGAATGCTGACGGGGAGTGTGGCTAAGATAGACTGTATTTGGGGGTGG